CTCAGGACTGTCTTCAGAATAACCTCTCAGTTTAACCCAGTGATACATCATGCCTGTAAAAGTTTGTTCTTTTCTGCAAATTTATATTAATTGGTATGTTTCATGTATGGCTGTCAGAGAAACATTCTTCTTATATTAAGCTACTGCACGTTTTTCTCAATGGCTCCTTTGTTGTTGTTTTTTCACAAGTTGTGACCAAACTCTCTAACTACAACTTTATTAAACCATCTATGTCATTTAGGTACCAATTAGCATAATATTTCAAACAACACAAAAGACATTGTGTTTTTAAGTAATTTCTAAGTGAGATTTCTTCAGCAAAATCTAAAAGGACATTCCTCAAGTGACACTAGCAATTCCAATAATTCACAAAAGTAAACCTTTTAATATTAGAAACACTTTGCTATGTCCACGAGAGTAATCATATTCCAACAAATCACTTGAAGAGCTATGTACCAGACACTAACACTTGTAAGATGAACCTTTTCTTTAATAATGACAGATATAATTAATATTTTTGCTGTAGCTTTTTCAACTACTTTACGCATGCTTCTGCTCTACCATTTGTGTTTTCTTTGTGCATGTATTCTTCATTTAAACTAATTTGAAGCATTTATATCAAAATTTTCATGTTTTTGTACAATGATTTATTTACCTATCAGAGATAAAGTTGATTTTTTATTTAAACAGATCTTTTTCCAATACAGGACAGACACAGATAACTAGCATGACTTTCTCAGCTTTGTCTTACATCCAGTTTGCTTACTTTGCTTTACCCATGAAATTTGTTATTACATACATAAGGGAAGGTGGTGATTTTTTCCTGTCAATCTACATCTAGTTCCTAACTCAATAAAGCTTTTTAAGATAATCGGATCACTTATATAAGGTTTTCTATCTGGTGACTAAATTAATACCTTTGGAAAATGTATCAGCTGGAATAGTCTGTGTTTTCCATTTTCTCACTGTCTTTACTTATGGTTTCACTCTGTCTTTAGGGACTTTTACTGACCCAACTTGTTACTTAAAAAAATTGTATATTGTGATTTCAGATAGCACAAAACTAATGTAGCTATTTTTCACTTCAACCTCCATTTTATCTTATGGTGACTAATACACAGTGTAGGGTACTGGATCTTAAACCTAAGAATAAAATGTGTAATATGCAAGTGTCATATTATGTTTGATTTTCTCAATTTTAACCTTTGAATGGTGGTCTAGGGCAACCTGATCAAAATATTTCAGTCAGAGCTTGCTACTATAAGGTACAAGGAGACAATACATTTCCTGCCTATAGAGATCAACAAGAGTAAGATGTAGTTTCCTAATAGAAAATTTTACACTTACTGGCTAGACACTGAACAGTGATAATTTCAATCTTAATATCAGTACAAAATTTATTACAAAACCATTCTCCCTGTTCTGAGACAAGAAAAACTGGTGGTTTAAAATTTACTCTTTACTAGTAAATTAAGAGGGCTTTGAAAGTTACTTTCAATCAATGACAATTCCCCATTCAAGAACAATCACAAGGGTCGGTCTTATCTTTACTAGATGGATTTATAACGTTATTTATAAGCAACTACAGCTTTATATATTATACTTTTTACTTACATTTTAACTGTACTCTTCAGAATGGATTATTTTCAGAGAGTCATGTGTCCTTACGAACTCAAGCAGACTCTAGATAGTTGAATGTTGTAGCAGGTTCTTTCTTGCAATCTGATAGTTTATTTCCTTTTATTTTTATTACAAATCCTTTCTCTAATGTTGAAATAATAACTAACATGATTAACTGGTATGTGAGAATGAAGAGAACTTCAAGAAATGTGTGCTGAAAGCAGATAAAGAAAAAAAAAGACAAGAAACCTTTACTCTGGAAGATCAGATTAAAAACACAATGATATGAGTCAAGTATCTTTACAGGGGCTTCAGTTACTTCAAATTAATAATCTAAACACATATTGATTTTGCATACCATTCACCTAACATTTAACTTGTCAAAACCTGTGATATTTCCAAAGTTACCTAATAAGTTCTAATTTGAACTTCTCTGGGATTTTAATGCTATCTTTATTATGAATCACTAGTTACATTTTAGTATTATGGTATTCTAAACTATTTTTAAAGGCAAATAAATATAACTGCCTTCAGAGTCAAGTAAGCAGGATAAAATGAGTGTGGTACATTATTTGGCAACCTAAACGAACATGTCTTATAACAGCGGCATTCAAACTGATGTCTGTTTTCATAAATTAAGTGGTAGATTCTTAATACTAGTCCTAAGAATTATGGTAATACTAATATGTTGGCAGAGTTGTGTTTCATTTAGAGTTAAGAGTAAGCAAAATCTTGTTGTATTACTACTAATAGTTGACTATCCAATTTACTTGTTAAACATTCTAAATATAAAAAATGTTCACACAATAAAATATGTTTGTATTACATAAGAATTCTCCTATGATCTTAAGGGATCTTCATTATGGGTCAAGTAGAGACCCACTATGGATGTCACCAAAAAATGTACAAACAGCTAGAGACATTCTCTTCAGCAGTATTGTGAAACACTTTTGAAATTGCTTCTGATGAAAAGCTGGAACTAGATTTGCTAAGAAATCATCAGAACTCTGCTGTATTGTTTCATCATATACTGCGACATACGAGATTTCTTACTCCAACTGGTTAATGTATTCAACACTATTTCTAAAAGGTGATGTACATATACTTAATCATGGTATACTAGTCCCCCCCCCCAAAAAAAAATACTAAATTATGATAACAATGATATATTAAATGTAAAGTAAAAGGATGATAGAAACAGAATTTCAATATATTAGTACTTTCAGCATGGACTAACATTTTGAAAACTTCTCTAATCTGAGTTGCATCACTTAGGTTTAAAATATGAATTGAGATATTACTGTGGTTTACACCTGCTATTCTAACAATAAATAAAGTCCAACAGATCATCTAGGAATGTAGAGGTTCCCAATGAAAGAATTTCAAAACTATAAGTTGTTCACAAAATACTCACCTGATGTTTAAAAGGTCATGTGTTCACCTTATACACCTAAAATTTCAAGCAGCTACATGTAGATGAACATTACAAGTTCTTTCATCATTTGAAGGCACTGTTACATATTTTCAATTGAAGAAAAGATATCAAAATGAATAATTGTATGGTCTAAAGGTGTGACATGTTTAATTCTAACTTTCATGCAGTTACATCTTCTGAAGTTCTGTTAGTTTCGGCATGGTCAATCAGACAATTCAGCAGGGTAACACCATAACTCTTGTCTCCACTAAAAATATCTTCTTGCAAAAGAACATTATTTATTCCATTATTTTTGTGATGTATTTGTGATAACTATATGATACCTTTATTTTCCCATCACAGTACAGTAAGATAAAAATTATAAGTGCAACACAAATTTTTATAGTGTATAGATATATGTTCAAATAACAATTTCTTAAACTTAGAAATACTACTTTTTTAACTTTACTGATTTTACGTATAAAAACAAAAACAATGGTTTGATTTCATTAAATCATTTCAAATATACAATAGTTACTGTTTTAGGTTTATGAATTATTTAAACCAAATCCTCATAAAAGTAACTCAATGTATTTATGGTATACCCAGGATAATGACTTATAATATATAATGCACAAAACAATAAGCTGAAAAACGTCTTAGACTATAGAATAAAATGGTTTATTACAAATGTTACAGCTTATGTCATTTTCAAGGTATAGCATTTTGTCTGAATAGTAGAAGAAGAAATGGCTATTAAAAGAGAATGTTTTAACAATATGATATTAAATACAGCATCACATATCCATGTGGTCAAGTACTATCGTTATTTAATAATACCAAAATCAAGATAATTAAAACAAAATTAAATGATTGATAAATTAATAAAAGAATTTATAGACCAGAAACACTGTATTGATAGATTAACTCAAAACCAAGAATTAAAACCAAACGTTTATCTTTGGAATTATGGCTTTGAGGATTTGATTAATTTCCACACTTTTCTAAACTCCATATATCCATCTATGAAATTTAATTTGAACATTCCATAAACTGTATTATACCATCTAGTGATTTCCTAGATGTATTTACAAATATAGAATATCATATTTTAACAGGTATTTACAACAAACCAAATAAAATTCTCCATTACTGCCTACCAAAACAGAATTGAAATCTTCAACAATGACAATAGTACTAAGAAAGCTGGAGAAGAAATTCATCAATTTATACTCTATATCAGATATCCATCTAACTTCATGTTTCAAGTTACTTAACCCATTCACTGCGGCTGGGATGTATATTTCCCAGTGCTCCCACCCCCCTCACACTGCGACTGGGATCAAGTCAAGTCAAAGTTCATCATCGGTTTTAGGTCAAACAACCAAAAACTGAAAATGAACTGATCCCAGTCACAGTGTGAGGGGGTGGGAGCATTAGGAAATATATGTCCCAGCTGCAGTGAAAGGGTTAATCTTTTGACAAAAATAAAAATATCATCTCCAGAACAACCCAAATATCCAAAACAGTCAATTAAACTAGTCATACTGTACAATAGTGAAAATTTTAGTAATCAAATTTACAAAGCCATTAAAAAAAACGAGAATGAATGTACAATTGGTACATAAACTGGGCAAATCAGAGAAGTTAGTTTGGAACATGCAGGAAACGAAGCTACTGTAGAACATTACATAACACAGTTACTCAGACATAACACTTTACCTTGAAACAGGTGTAAGCAAAACATCAGTAATAAACTATTTTATTTTAGAGTTGTCATTTTTCAACTTCCTATGACTTCTTTCTTCCAATTATCACTACATCATATAAAAACTAGTACTAACTACAAAATATCTTTAATTTTTCCCTCAGTTATGAAAGTTTTTTAACACAAGTTCTATATACTAAATTATGAAGAATAAAATCATTTTAATCTATCAACTTCCTATCTGGTGAAACACGTGTATCACAGTTCTCAAATACATTTATTTTTCAAAAACTAATGATATCAAATAGGTTTCTTCAGTTTCTTACTGTGATTACCAACTTTTGTCTATAAAATAAAAAAAAAGTATTGCACTGTTTTTACAGATGCTATTTTTAGCTTAAGTTAAACTATTGAGTTACAAAGGCTTTTCAATTCAAGATAAATTAACATTTGCCCATACCAATAACTCAAGAATGGGGGCTAGAGAACAACATAACTGTCATGGCACTACAGATTACTACAAATAATTACAAAAGTTCAAACATTAGCCCAAAACACGAATGATCTTTATATATGGTCTCACTCTGTCTCTTATCACAAATTCCTTCTATAGCACTTTTAAAAGAATTATTAAGACCTTTGCAAGCAGGCATCGTGCATTTTGAGGAATTAGAGAAAATTGAGAAATTTGACAAAATATCAAAAATTTTGTATTTGCTTGATTTATTGTGTATTTTATTGAAGAAACTTAAGGCTACACAAACCATAAGTCACTGGAATCAGTGTGAAGAACTATTATTAATGTATGCCCATATGGCCCTTTGGAATAGAAATAACAAATACACCCGTATGGTAAGCAAAGGGTTAAACAGACAAACCATTAAATACACATAAAAGTGAAATCTAGTGTAAAAATATAATAAAACTGTAATAACCTTTCACCTTTGTATAACTCCACAAACTAAACTAAGTTTTTGGTGTAAAACTGACTTGTGATAAAAACCAATAATGTATCCTTCTCATTGATCATTCTCTATTTTAAAGTGATATTTAGTGCAGTCTTTAAATAGTAAAACAGCCCCTTTGGCAGCTGGAGTTAAATCATTCCACAAAATCTGTGTTTCTTCATTATATGATTCTGCAAGTAGTGCTTCCTGTTGGGCCACATATATACCTATTGTTTCGTCAACTTCTGCTTGAGATCCTTCTCTGTACCTAGCAAGTACATCTGCAGTTGCCAAGGAACAACTAATAAAAGAAAAAAAAATTTATCTATAAGTGGTGTGTTGCTTTCAATTAAACCAAAATGTGATTCTACTTGGAAGCAGAGGTACAAATGTTGTAAAATTAGCTACATAAAATTGTTTGTTTTATCAATACAACACTTTACTATGGATGTGGAGAGTTGTTCAAGTAAGCCACTCAAGTTTCCCTTTCTCCAATGTACATCAAATGTAAATTCAGTAAGTGGCAATTAGCTATATTTTCCTACAGAAAAGACAACTCATGATGTTGTAAGATACAAAGTTGTCTTTTCTGTCAATGAGTTGAATAATTGTTAGGGTCAGTCGCACATTTGTGTTCAGATCACAGTGGATAAAGGTAGCATGCATGCAAAGTGGATTCGTGTAAAACTTGACTTTGTAGATTGTATCATGGTATATAAACGAGGTTTGCCCCCCCCCCATAAGAGAAGCTTGAGTAATTTCCAACCTTTTAGAGCTTTTTTTCTTAACTTTTGTCTAGATAATAATAGCTATAACTTTTGTAGCATTCTGCTTTAACATTTGCTATTTGAATAAACCTTGTTTTTGCTTAATGATGGATTGTAACTAACTCTTAACTTTTAAGGAAATTAAAGTTTGTTTTATTTGCTTAATCTAAAGTTTAAACTTTTGGATCTTTCAAATCTAAACTGAACTCTGGAGTTTATTTTAGCTTATACTTTCTTTTTTGCATTCACTGTACTTTTAGTGTACCTCACAAGAGGGAGCACACTGAACTGGTAAGATAAAGTATTAGTCTTCTTCACTTCTCTTGTCAGTTCAACACATCCATGATAAACACTTTCCCTTGTGTTTATTTCAACATGTTTGTGTATAATAAAGATTTTGAGTTATGTACTGTCTTTTTCTATGCAACAACTCAGTTGGAGTTCAGAATACAACACACTCTCTATGACTTGATATTCTTTAAACATCCAACTAACAGGCCCTAAATGACAACTTTGTGGGAATGTGTGTGCCAGAAAATACCAGAGTAATAATAAAACAGTTAGATAGATGTGTAAACAAATATTTTAACTAAAAAATTACTTCCACAACCATATATTGTGTGAAACTTAAGAACCTGAAGAAACATTATCAATAAAGCAAAACATTAACTTAAACAAGCAGAAAGCTAAATGAATATGGATATGTCAAATGAATACAATAATAATCACAAAAAACCCACTAGGAAATGATTGTCACGGGAACACATGATAATGAACCACGCATGAGAGGCAAGAATGATAAGGAAAAAATCATTAGCCTTTTTAATTAAAGCTGAGTGTATTATCTTCTTTTATTTTTCTAGCCAAGATTGTAACTTACCTTATATAAAATTCAGCAGTTGGCCTGCCACCTGTTGAATTATTGCACACAAATCCCATCAACCATGGCTCTGAGAGGTAGTCAAGAGGAATATTTACTTCATCTCTGACTTCACGCAAGATTGATGAAAATATTTCTTTAACAACTAAGTCAGATGGTACATCACTAGGGGTTTCCGTAAGTTCCAGGTTTTCATTTTTCACTAAACTTTTGAACACCTCCTTAAGTAGGAAGAAGGAAAGAAAAACATAACCGATTTGTATGTGAACGGCAGAAATAATTACACTACATAGATCTAAACAAAACCAAATTTCAGTCATTTTGTCTCATTATAAGAATAATATTTCAACTAATTTTAACAAGGCTTGAGCTAGTTTAATGCCAAAACAAACTCATGCATCAACTAAACTAAAAGACAGATGAAAAGGTATATAATATGTAAACATAATAATAATTAAGAAACACAACCTCACACTGTGTGTGTTTATGGGACTGATATTCAAAAGAAGCATATGTTTCAATGAACATAAATGACAGCAAGACCTCATACGTGAAAATGTTTTGATTTTACAAATACTATGACCTTACAATATAATTTCATATTAAACTACTTCATGTGAATTTCAACTTGCATTTCTATATAATATGAGAATGTATATTGTAAACATAAGTTATGAACCACAAGAAGTTGAGCAACTGGGCTTGGAAGTGTGGGATCAGTTTGATAGGAAAAGGAAGCTATATGGAATGTATTAACTACATGCACTTAAATAGAGTAGGGCTGGATTGTTTGCAAGGGCTATTAACTCAGCTGTAAGGGCAGCCTTAAACTAGAAGTAGACAATGGAGAGGGTCAGGATAAACTAAGAACAGAAACAAAATAAGATATAGAGACAATCTTATTGTAGGATCAAATTAATAGTTTTAAAGGGAGGCTAAATTGTTACTACTGCAATGCTAAAAGTATAAGAAATAAAATAAACTTTAGAGCACTAGTCATAATGGAGGATTTTGATATGAAGGGAATAACTGAAACCTGGTTAAATATATACAATTTTTATGACATGAATTTATTTGAAATATAGCTTGTTTAATACGGACAGAGTTTTAAAAATAGGGGAGGACTGGCTTTATATAAAAATGTGAGTTGCATCCTGTTGAAGTTGAGGATATCAAAGATAGCAGCAAGAAAATGTTACATGTTTCTGGCTTCCTTACCCCCCTTCTAACGTAGTAATGTTACATGTATATACAATTTGCTTCCTTAACCTCATCAAAATAGTGATGCATATTTGTTTTGTTTTTTTACTGTGATTGGCCAATCACCAATAGCTAAGTGAGGCACATTCTGCGCCTATATACATATCTATGAGTTAGAAATTCAAAGTGTGTTGGTTGTGATAAGGAAATAGTGTAGGATGTTGTTTCAGTGTTTGTTTTATGTGTAAATTTTGACAATTAAATTTTAATTAAACATCATCTGCTGCCTATGTTATTAATACGCAACTATCATTATATACGTCAGCAAATTCCATACATAACAGAGGAGAAGGATTTTTGTTACTGACTACCAGAAGAAACTGATGAAATTCATGAGAAATTTTAATTTCAAGTTATATAGATTTCAAAATTTCATAGTCAAACAATGAGGGAGACAGGTTCATGATTGTTTTCTTCACCAAATGGTCAAGGAACCTACAAGGAGCAATGCTATTTTAGATTTATTTATGAACTTCCAGTGAGGAAATGGTGAAAAAGCTGGTGATTTGGGAACATCTTGGTGAAAGTGGTCATACTACAACTGGGTTTGATGTTTTGCTGCATATGGTGATCAGAAATAATGAAATTTTAATTACAAATTAAAAAAAAAGCTAATTTTGAAGTTATATGTCAAGAAGTATGTATTGCAAAATGGGCAACTATATTAACTGGAGATACTGATTATATGTTGAAAAACTTCTAAAAATAAATTTAAAAATTACAAAATAGAAAATTTGTAAAAAAAATAGGTGCTATGAGATTAAACCTGGAAGCAATTGTGCATGAAATGTAGCTTACACAATTGTATGGATGTTCACATAAAATCCACAAACATCCAATGAAAAGTCAACAAATCATCATTCTATTCTAAGGCTTAAATTAGCATAAATATGTACATTTTATTACAGAAAAGTACTGTACTATCTACATACAGAGTAGTTATTAATAGTTAAATTATATTACCAATTTAAACAACTCAGTACAACAATAGTATATTAGCTTTTTCAATCACTGACTATCATATAAATATATGTATACACTACTGAAATAACATGTTAGCATGCTCCATTCTTCTGGGGTGCTTTTCCATAAATAACTTGCATTCACTTTAAATGTTAATAGCAGTATCATAATGATTGAGTATTAAAGCTAGAGAACTCAAGTCTTTCTTTGGTTCGTGTAAACTTCAGATATTTATTCAACCAGCGGGGAGCAGATGCCGAACGTTCACAGGAACATGAACTTAATGGCAGTGTAGCAAACAGTCTCAGTAACAAAGATATTTGGTACACTGAAGCATGCTTTTAAGCAGTCAGACAGTATCTGGGGCATGTACTGTAGAGGTATGGAAAGCCATCTAATCTTCCATTGATGAAGTTCTTCATCACCAATATCAGGATTTGGTAAATCTTCCCTATAAACATCTAAGAAAACTCTTGTGTGACTTTTGATGGCACAAGTTTCTGAATTAATGCTGCTTGCTTTACACGTGCATCAAATCTGAAGGAAAGATTACTGATAATGTGGTCAAGACAAGGAATGGTTACTGTTTTCTCAAAAGTAATCCTCCACGGAACTATATTCTACATTTGCATGCTAACATTAATATTAAATTTGTTTGCAATATTACTGCTGTCCTTTAAAATACAATGTGAATAATCATCTATGTTCATTCTTGGTGAAGTCATTTCTTCACAGCATTGTTCTATTAGGGAAACAAAAGAAACATACATATATAGATTAATTATATCATGTATAGGTATTCAAGGATTCAACACAAACTTTGTATTTTAAACACTAGACATATGCACAGCACAAGGTATCTATTCTAATTGCATGTTGAAAAGTATATTAACTACTATAGCAGCAAAGCTACATAGTACTGTACCTCGGTAATCATGTGCCAATCCTTTTCTTTTGTTGGCAAAAAGCTTTCGAAAACTACTGCAATCAGTTTCACAAAGGCATTTCATTCTGTTCAGTAAGAAGTGTTGAAGGTCTGACTTGTATATTGTATACTGTGTATTCTTGCAAGCCAGACTCTTATTTGTATAGAGTAGTTTTCAAATGGGTCTAAGATTAGTACAATTTGCAGCTTCTTCACAATCACTTTATAGTTCTATTTCCATGACACGACGAAGCTTGCTTGTGGTCAAAAACATGTGTAGCTGTTAGATATACACAAATGTTTCAGTTTAAGTTGAATGTGAGCATTATGATTTGGATAGCACATATAGCTGTTGTGTCATATTTAGTACATTGTGTAGCATGTATGTTCTGCTGTTATAAGTTAGGAATTGTTATATTGTTGCATCATGTCACTAGTACTTTTTTAATTTTTCTTGTTTTAATTGAATATTATTGCATCATAATATCTAATATTCCATGGAATGTTTTAGATCTCCATTGGGGTATAAATACATGTCAAAAGATTATTATTTTGACCTAGACTACGTGATTGTGAGTTTAGCATTAAAGAGTGCATAGTGGCAATTTTTAAAGTGAAATTATCACAGGCTGTATTGCACTAACAGAGAAAAGAATAATAACTCAACTTATCAGTTGTCTTCTAAAGTAATTAAACCAGCCTGTGTGGACTTTGACAAAAACAAAAGAGAGAACTATTTAAAGCTCTGGGTAAAACTGTGATAACTAACAGTTTAACAAACATTTGTATATATGTTTGACTTGTTTTTATATATTATTTTAAGACAAGTGATCTGTATTGCCCTTTGTTTATTGTTGAAATTTATTGCCATCAAGTCACAGACACCTACTGTAAAGAATCCGGCGAACAAAACCTGACATAAGTAATACAGCTTCAATCTTCCAATTACAAGGTGTCAATAGAAGCCATTAGATGAGATTATTTCAAGCCAAAAAATGCTAATGCTTCATCAGAAGAATGTAAACTATGTATTGGATGTTAAATACCATAAGCAGCTGCACTATAACTATGTAAGCATAATTTTTTACCTCACAAAAATAGGGGTACTGGATATGCGAGTCACTTACTAGTATTTCTTGTAAACCCTTGAATAATGGGCAGGTGCCAGAAGAATAGAAGTTGGCTAATGTTACCCTTATTTTCCAGGTGTGTGTATGTGATAAAACCTGTCCCAGTAATTACTAATTATAGATACATCAGTCTTACATCAGTTATAGGAAGAAAGTTTTTGAATATCTGATAACAGATGCCTTGCAAATTCATATAACAAAGTTTAAAATTTTGTTGGATAGTCAACAGGTTTCACTAGTGAAAAATATTCTCTCATTAATCTTTTTGAATTCTTTGAAGAGATTACTGCTTATATAGATGGTGGCAAAGGTGTGGATTTGGTGGATCTGGATTTTTAGAAAGTATCTGACAAAGTGCCATGTAAAAGGCTTGTTCAAAAATAATCTCTGTAGGCATGGAGGATGTGTTGGCTCATTGGACAGAAAATGGGTTGGATGGAAGAAAGAGAGTTGTGATAAATCAAATTCAGTTAAAGTGGATTAATGTAACAAGTGGGGGACTTCAGAGTTCAATGCTAGAACCTTTGCTCTTTTATTTACATGAATAGAATAGATGAACAGATGATCAACAAATTGCTTAAATTTACCAATGATATTATGGTCTTGGATGTTGCTGGCTGTGGGGAAGATGCTGATGCTTTAGAAAAGAATTTATATTATTTGGTGGGTTGCACAAATAAATGGCAGACAGCTTTTGATTATAATACATGAAAAGTAAGGCATGTGCATTATCATAATTTAAATTATAGGTATAATTTTGATGGGAAAAACCTCAATAGTGTTATGGATGAAAACAAATCTTAGCACTTTGGTTGATCAATATCTTATGCAATCCAAGAAGTACTCTGTTTTTAGATTAGGGCAAATGAGATTTTAAGTTGTATTTACAAATATGTTGAATATAAGTCTTAAAGAGGTTATAATTTCATTGTATAGGTCTTGTTAGGCCTCACTTGGAATAGTGTTCAATCTTGGGCACCTTACCTTAAGAAGGAAATTAAGTTATTGGAAAGAATTCGGAGTAGAGCTGCAAGGATGATAACTGGGTTGGACATGTTAAAGTCTCTGAATTTTTTTTTTTTTTAAGAAAAACAGATGGAGGAGATCAGATTAAGGTATTCAAGACTGTAACAGGAATTTATAGTGTTGACACAATAATTTTGTATACTTAATTGTGAGAATGGTAGAACTAGGGGACACAAGTTTTGGCAGGGTAGGAGTCATCTTTGGTTAAGAGTTTTACTTTCTTAAGAGGATGGTAGGCCTTTGGAATGGGTTGCTTTCAGATATAGTGGATGCACTAAGTTTAAAGGAGGGCTTTATAAATATTTAGATGATAAAGGATATCTTTCAGATTTTTTCATTATTATTATTACAATCCTTACTTTTTATAATCATTATTTCATTATTATTATTTTCTTTTAAGTTTAGTTTAATGGATGGGACAGCCTCAATGGACCAACAGGCTCCTTTTTGCCCTTAAATGCTGTGTTACAGTGATTCAGAAGTATACTGTTGTGCATCAATTTAGGTAATTTTTGGATTAAAATATTTCATTTGTTATTTTCCATACAGTTGCAACTGAAATTTCTAGTGCATGATGCATATTAATAAATGTTTTGAAGGATATTACCTTGAAGCTGACTTTGAATGACTGAAGTGATATTGTCACAGGGTAGGCTCATAACACCTCAGTCAATACTACTAACAATTATTTTCCTATACTTCTCCATTTCCAAACTATTTGCTTGCCATTGGACTTCTGAAACACCAAGTTTACACTTATATTGGATTTGAACTGAGCACATATACCATAAAAGAAAAAATTATGCCCGAGGTTTGACTACGGATTCACTTGTAACAAATAACAGAATGACTACCTCATTATAAGCAATAGTTTCTTGTAACCAGAGAAAGCTCCTCTTTGCTTGTAAATAATGTGTGTTATGTTTTTTTACAATACTTTATTATATACTTAAATAATTTTGTAAAATTATTTATTTACTACTATAATAAAAATATCTGGCAAACAACAACTAAAAACAACCTTCATTACAAACTTAAGACTACATTCTTATACATATCTAATTATACCTACTGCTGAGAGTAAGATTGGTTTGTATGTAATCTTGCACAAAGCTACACAAGGGCTATCTGCACTAGCCATTCCAAATTTAGCAGTGAAAGACTAGAGGAAAGGCAGCTAGTCATCACCACCCACCAGCAACTCTTGGGCTACTCTTTTACCACAAAATAGTGGGATTGACCATCACATTATAATGCCCCCACAGCTGAAAGGGCAAGTTTGTTTGGTGTGAGAGGGATTCGAACCTGCGACCCTCAGATTGCGAGTCAAGTGCCCTAACCACCTGGCCATGCTGGGCCAAGAATAAGAGCTAATACAGTAAAATGCATAGCATAAATATATGGTGAGCCAAATTAAAAACCTTAAGTTTTTCCTCAATTTTCAAAATTAGTTAAGAAAAATATTATCATGTGATTGGATTGAATACATTGTACATATATATGTAAGCTGAAAAAGAAAACTGTAAAGAAGAAGTGTAGATCTGGGCTTCCAAACTTAAATTTATTACCCTAATATTAAATTTCACAGTTTAACTCTTTTTCATACAATCCCTCAAAGATACCACCCATAGGAAGACAATATCTTAACAATTCTAACCCTAAAAATAAAGTTACTTGTATTTCATTTATCCTGTAGAGATAACTAGCTGAAAGTTCTTAAACTAGAAATTACTCAAAAAGCCCACCTCTGATTTTTACATACTGATATTTTCCTTTACAGAAAGGCTTAAGAAAAATGTGCACTCAGTACTCCAAATGAGGTCTAACCAATTTTATGCACGGTTACACTAATTATTTTACATTTACAATTCTTGGAGAGAAAAAAAAAACAACTCAACTTGCACTTTTGACCATGCAGCTAAACACTAAGCAGAGGATTTTATCAATAATATCTTAATACTACTCTTAAAAAAACACAACTTCCCTTTCGACATTGCAACATATTTCCATATTCTAATCTAGTCATTTAGACTGTCAAGATTCATTTCAAAGATAAGTAAAGTATTTTCAGTTCTGCTATCTATTCAAACCAGTAACCCAAACAGTAAATGAATAATGCCTCAACTCAGACCCCTGAAGGACCCAAGCTTTTACATTAAGAGAAGTGTTCACATTAAAGAAACAAAGCCCTAACAAAAACTTTGACAAATAGGTAATTTGGTAAGGTAATGAAACACCTTTTTCAAGCCATGCTGATAATCCTATATTTATTTATTTTCCAAATTTCATTTTAAATGGTACTGACAAGATTTCAAAACCTTTCTAATAAAAGGAGTCAGACTAATACATCTAAAAATTGCCCAGATTACCTTCACCTTCACATAGACAACCATTATAAAGAAATTCCTCAGTTCTTCCACACTTAATATAAAACAAAGTTAAGCTTCACTTTCTATTTTTTAATCTTCTTAAAGGGCTTAAAATCAAACTTTTCCAAAATACTTTTCCCTTCAACAAAAACAGAATGCAAAGAAAATTTCTTACAAACATTCAAGATATTGATCAGTTTACAATTCCCTTCTTCTTCAGCAGTGAAATATTGTGTAGCACTAATAAATAAAAAAAAACAGAAAAAAAGTGGCTTAGTGCAGTGAATGTAAGCTTAAACACCCTTTTGTCAAATTTGGTGTTTTGAGCTACGTTCTTGTTCTTTAGGCCTTAATAATAGCTTTCTTGACTTCATTTTTGTTGTTGATAAACCTCATCATCATCCAAATATGTTTGATATAATTACAAAGCTTGGTGTTTTTCATTAAGTATTAATTTACCTACCCTATTCACCTATTTTGGAATGAGATTTTTCCTTAACTGTTTCTATTTAAAACATTTCTTCAATAAATACAAATGTATGCTAGGGAAGATGATTCAAAAGAACCATTTAGTCACATAAAATGAGCATAGACCCTTAATAAAACTACAGTATATTTAGAAGACAAATGATAAGAATTCAAAGATAAATTATCATAAAATACTAACAAGGACATACAACAGTATATGGAATAAGTATTAAAATATATACTAACATTCTATAGTTTGTAACATTGAAGACATTTATATACATTTTAATGGTGGAAGTTGGAACACTGTCCTATGAAACTAGGATTTATTTGAAGTGAAAATTGAGATCAGGGAGGTCTTGAAAGTTAAACAACCGAGTAAGTGTTAACTTAAAAACAACTAAGCCATGTCTTGAATGACACAGATCTCAGTTTCCATTTCATTTGTAAATAACAACAGAATTTTGGCAGAACTGAATTAACTGTATGGCTATTCCAATCAGCTTGTAAAGTTCTAAATTAATTTTTACCATAATAAAAACATGACAATATAAATTTACAGCTTATACACAAATGACCAGCATTAACCTCTGGTTCAGGATGTCCACCAGGTCGATCTAAGCATCCTGGATATTCTCCACAGTTGTGACTTCTTTTGATAAAGATGAAATCATGGTTTGTTGTTTCAACAAGTGCCCCTATACCAAGTGACTGAGACATGTAAGTGCAGTGGTTACCAAAGTCCTTTCTCCCATCTTCTAGAAACTTTTCTGTAAATGGTGAACAGCATGTGCCCAAAAAGTCCTTATATGAGGTAAGTCCTAAGAGAAGCTGTATTTTCATTTCAGACTCATTAGGACCATAAACAGTGTGAAGTGTGTGAAAACGAAATTTCAATCCATCAAACAACGTTGGATTTTTCTTTTTTTGTTCTTCCCAGTGTTTATCTATAAGATTTTCTAAACTTGGATGTTTAATTCTGTTGTACAAATTGGAAAACAAAACTACTACTTGATTCTTCTGGATTCCTTCATTGTTCTGGATGCATTTGATTAATTCAAGATTTTCAATGTCCATTGTTCCTTTACTATCAGTCTTGCTCTTACTGTTTCTCATAAAGAATAAACTATCATGTCTAAAATTAGATAACTGGCAGCTGGAATATACGTTTGTATTGTACGCGTTTTTGTAGCCTTCCAGACTACAGCTGCATGCTTTCTTTTACACCAACTTGAATGTTGTACCACTCAGATTGACCAACAGTTTTTTTCTTTTCACGTCAGTATTATCACTTTTAAACTCTATCTGGAAAGTTTCAAACGTAACTAAATAACACAAGGATAAAATAATTTTTAGATAAACCCAAAAAGAAAGATAAAACCAAAAATATAGACAATACAGTGCTTACAGGTTGCCGTAATACTTACTTGTTAGTACTTCTAGTAAGTTTTAAAACAGTACAGCGGGCTTAATTATTAAGTTAACTAGCGTATAGCCCGTCAAAAATGACGGAGGCACGTAGCACCACTCCATAATATACCTTAACCTTGCACTTAATAGCTAATTTTAATAAACAAATTTTGTGAAATCAAGATTGACCAACATAGAGAGAGAAAAGTGCAGTCGAAACAGTTAAACATCGGTAAATTCCATTGTGAGCCAATCAAAATTAAGATCATTCATGAAGTGAATTCGTGGCGTATTCATAGAATGATTATTGGTAAAACTAAAAATCAGTTAGATTAACAACTTCTGATATTGATATATAGAAAACCCAGTGCATTTTGGTTACACTATATTCCAACAATGGCTTTTATGTTATGTTGCTCAGAAACAAAAGTATAACCTAATATTGATGTTAGTCTATGTACTGAAACTGAAAGAATAAAATGAAATGTAGAGACCACAGACAACAAAACTGGAAAAATATATGTCGATTTCTTAATTTAGAGTCTCCGTTGATTAAAGTTTGCTTTTATATTAAAAACGTTGGTGATATAACAGACAATAGCTTAATTCAGAATAGATTTAAGTTTGACAAGGAATCGATAGTTTTACTTTCGTGATAATTGTTATGCTTTAGGTTAGGTGATCACACACTTCATCTTTACTTTAGGCTTATTATAGAAACACTACACTTATAAAATTTTACAGCACCCCCTCACGGCCTCTTTGCACATCTGGCACTAAAATCATAATGTGCAGACAGTAATCGAACTATTCTATATGGATAAATGAATTTTGGCTTTCATGATTCCTCTTATTTCGAGAAATCAAGCGTGATACATTAATAACCTATTAACATTAGTAACTGTTAGTACATAAATATTTTTTAGTCTTTACGAAATCACAAACATATTAGTATTTACAAAACCGTTCAAAATAACAACAATAATAATAATAAAAAAGAATATTACATACTAATAAAATACCAGCATCTCAATGTTCTGAAAAGCTGACTGGGGCCCTCTTTAGGCCGAGCCCCTATTTGCTTGCGCTTTATGTATAACTATGGTATAAGTAGAGCCCGCCGGGCCCCATTTTTTTTAGCTACTAGGCATTTAGGCATAACTCCGCCCCTCCTGCTAAACTAGCATAATAGTCTGGTTCACTTTTCCAAAAAAGCTGCTAGGAAAGATGGATCACACATTTAGGGGTAATTTATGGCAAACAGTTGATTTTGGTCAATTTGAGGGTGCTGAACTCAAAAATGGCTCCTTTACTTTCAAAATTGAAAAACAAAATGGCCGCCATTTACCCCTGGATTTGGTTATATATCTTTTAATACACAGAGTAAATTTGGGTCAATTTGTGAATGCTGAGATCAAAAATGGTGATTACAAAACTAAATTTTGTCACTTCCCCCCCCCCCAAAAAAAAACAACTGAGAAAACAACCGAAAATGGTGTCCTAAAGGCTGCGTTCATTTTTGCTTATGAGCTGCCATTTCCATGTTTACATAATTGCATTAACTAGTATCTGGTATGTCTAAACTGAACACAAAATCAATGATCAATAGTAGAGGAGAGCTTTTTATCATATATTAATTTCGAAAATCTTACAATCGCCCATACATTTGCATGCCACACAGCATCCCAACTTTGTCTTTCGACACTTGCATCTTGAACATCTCGTCTTGCACTGACATGTGATCAGTTCTTCACGTACTTGTGGTACTGGAAGTAGAGAAGAACCAGAAAGCTCTGGAAATGGAACGTGTGCTTGTAGCCAAATAAAAGCCTGGTAGTATTCTCTCATGATATGAAACTTGAGCGAATCACATGTTGGAGGACGTCTGTCTAGCTGCTGAGCATTTTTGAACTGGACCATTCATATTTGGTCAATGCTATCAGCTTCAAGAGCAGATTCAAAAATTTTACGTACAAAATTTTTAGCATTCTTTATCTTTTTTGATGTCAAAGTGACAATACCAAGTCCATCTAGGAGTGCACTGTGCTCAAAAAAGCATCTCAAAGCTGATTTCTTGCTATCACTTACCAAAAAGGATGTTGAATCACTGCCGCTAAGAGCATGAAATGCTGAAAGGTTGGACAAAGTGCATAGCAGTGACAAAACAGAGACAAGTTCATGAATTGGGATGAATTCTGGAAGCTTCTGAGAACCTGATTTCATCCACATCTCTTCCCACTGAAATTTCTTAAAAATGGGGATGTAGCAACAGAAATACATCTGTGCCTTGAGCTTTTACAATAATGACAGAACTACTAAAATGAACACAGTGTAATATTATACGCGCTTCTTCTTAGAAGTTCTGAAGAAATGTCATAGCAACATCTGATTGGCTGCAAAAGGCTTGAATTTGCTGAATATATCCCCCTGCACATACAATCACAGGTATTTTAGCTTGTGTTGCTTGCTTTACAATTTCCACTAAAGAAACTCATCCAATTCAATCTTGTTTTCAGTAACAGCTAAAAACCTTGCCCAGTCATGAGGTAACTTAACATTGGAAGACTTAACTGACCTGATTAACGCGGGTTTCTTAGTTTTGTTGCATCTACATCGAGTGGAGGACTTCCCAGACAAAATTTAATAATGATAAGACAATGTCAAGCTGAAGCTTTGTAGAATGGATGGCAACTGCTTGTTGTAGAGACACAAGTGTAGATGACGACGTTTCGAAAGTCGTCCTCTACCTTTGTGTCTTTCAACAGGCAGTTGCCGTCCATTCTACAAAGTTTGATCATGAATACTCTGTCGAAATAATCTATCAAAGAACGTCAAGCTGCTTGAATTATTCTCCTACCTTAAAGACCACTGTACAGAAAACACTATCAAAATCTCCAAAGGTTTTGCTCCTTGAGATTTTTCATGGATATGAACTGCAGACATACCATCAATGATCAGTGTTGCATCTTCATAAGAAGGCAGGCTCTTAGGGTAACTGATCTTTGCTGTCAGCTCATCATTTAGAAGTGACTTTGTTCCTGATCTCAAAGAGCCATCTAATGTTGCTAAAGAAAGAGGAACTGGTGACAGTTTATGTTTCATGATTTCATTCAGGTCAACGCAATAACAAGTCACTGTAAGAGAGTCTGGTCAGGTTTAATTGTCTTAGTTTTGTCCTTTCCCATACCTAAGGCTTTCATATCATACATGCTAGCAAATGTAAGATATTTTCTTTTGGACAAAGGATCATTGCAGGGCACAGTGTGCAAAATCAATCTTTGCTGTAGGAAGGTTACAACTTAAGCTTTTCCACTTTCCTTCACACTCAGCAATGCTTATGTCACATCTGGAGATGCTTGATCTTTGTTTGTAATGTTCAACAAAACTGAGAAGTTTGAATCACCTCTGAAAAGTGAGAATCTTTGCAACACTTTTTTGGTTTTTTTTTCCACATTGTGCGTCCGAGTCCATGCGACCTTTGCTGGATTCTTCATTTTCCATTGAATCATAAAGACTTTGTGTATCCTTTGCGATTTTGGATTGAAGATTGTAAAAGAGGGCCCATTTTGACAAACCCAAATGTAATCTGATAATTCCAACAATGCTTCCTCCGACTTTTCCAACTTTGTTCTAACAACAAAAATTTGACTTTTTACTGAGCTGAAACAGTTGACTTGAGTATTGGGATAAACAGGTAGAAAAACTTACGTTTCCTTAAAAAATTTAAAATTTAGATTACTGTTTCAGATATTGCAGTTAAACAGACTTGAGCAGTTAGGCTAAATCAGTAAACAAATAGGAAGTATTAATCTGTATTTTTTCCCTCCAATTTCCAAAAGCTTTTTCTGTAATATAAAGTATCTGAGCTAGTGCTATGCTGCAATGGAGCCTATAACATCTTTAAAACGATTTTGAAACAGTGGGTGAAATTGACTATAGTTTTTGTGTCATTTGTCATGAAGTCAAGGGTGATACACTATTTAGTAGTTATGAACAAGGCCTAGAAAAACTGAAAGAATGTGTCATGAAGTGCTCCAAGTATAAAGACAACAAGCACAAGGTGAGGTTGAAAATGTCTTGAATGCACTCACTACTGATAGGCCTACAGAGGATTCGATACGTTGGCATAAAAGCTACTATTCCTGGTTCACTCACAAATGAAAAATTACATGCTTGGAAAGAGATCATAGCACACAGCAGCATTTGTCTAGAAGAGGACCTGTCAACAATTGGAATCAAGTACAAGTGATGAGTCACAGAGAACTTTGCAAAGTTCTTTGAAACCTACTAACTGGTCTTTGTGTATATTTTGTCAGAACACTAAAATAGAGTCCGCGCATATGGTTGCAAGCTTTCCAATGAGGAAAAAAAAAACATGTCTGATGTAAAATATTAACATAAACTTTGTGTAGCTCTCTCTCATTTTTTGACCTTATAGCTGCAGAAGCAAAGTATCACCTAAAGTGACATACCAATGGGTTGGTTCTGTGAACAACTTAAATGTTTTGCTAAAGAAGAAGCTGTACGTAACAATAATGATGTTTGGGACAGGTATGTCTATCTCTCCAATGAAATACAGCATCAGTTTTCTGCAACACTTGCAAGCAGATGTTTAACATTCAATGAGAGACGTAAATGCTTGTTGGTAAGCTGTATGAGTTTCATACACTCGAAAGAACAACAGAAGTAATGAAACGCACCATAATAATTCCAAAAGAGGTTTCACATATCCGTGTAGCTAACGTTTTGCAAAAGAGTTCAGATAAAAATCATCTCACCATACCTTCACATGGTAATGACATTATTCTTGCTGTGGTTCTTGTTGCCCTTAAGCTAAGGACTGACATATTATACCACCCAAGAGCAAAGGGTATCAATAATTCTGATCTAGGAATATATGTGTGCATTCCAGATAGTTTACTGACCTTTATAAATGACCTTTATAGATGCAATCAATGATGGCTTAAAAATAGAAAATGCGGGTGGACTTGACAAGCCAGTTGACCAAATGTTAAAAAATCCTTTAACATTTGTGTTAAGTGTTGCCCAAGATATGGTATATGGCATTAGTGGAGGAAGTAAATGGACGCCTAAGCATATTTGCCTTGGTTGCTCTCTTCATCAGGCTACTAGATCCAAGAAACTTGTTCGTCTGTTTCATAAAGCAGAGCACATCATAAGCTATCGAAACATTTTGCAAGTAGATACAGCTTTGGCAGAAAATGCTTTGAAGTCATTGCACATGAGAACAGGTGGCATAATTCCACAAAACTTGGTCAAGGATAGATTTGTACATTTTTCCACTAACAACATTGACATCCTTGACTCAAATCTAGATGGCAAATAAACATTTCACGCCACTCAATTCACAGCATGGCAACGTGGTCCTGAATCCCAGGAAAATATTTCAGAAAACATTGTTCCTTCTTCCAGACAAGTACTGCAAGTATCCAAAGAACTGTACAATTTCATTCCACTATTAAATTATGTTGCCAAGTCTACACCAAAGTTTAATGCTTTTAATGACGTTGATTGCTTTGAAGACTGTACTGGAAATAGCTACACAAGTGACGTACGAACAGATGCGAAAAAGTTGGCTTTTGTTTTCGGAAGACGGAAGGAACAAGACAGCAATCATACTTAGCTGGACATACTTTCATCAATAGCTGTGCCACACTATGTTTGAACAATCTATCATTGAATACATGCCCATTGTTCTTGCTCCAAC